GGAAACAAGCACTACCTGGCCCCAGTCAAGCAGGTTTTCACAGCACTGTAGGCCCTTCAAGGTAATGTTTCACCCAGCTCTCAACGGCCTGTTAAGTACAGTAGGACTGAGCATGACAAACACAAGTAATAAATGATTTTCATTGTTTTGCCTTGGAAGCAGAGCACTGTGTTACTCAGCTCTAGTCCACTCTTTTGTCAATTTTACTGGAGAATCCTCAAGGAAAAAGCAGACAGGAGCGTCTCTAGCTGTTCCTTGCTGCCTCCTATATAGGACTTTGTCAAATCAGTCCAGAGCAAGAGGAGACAAAGTACAATTTCTGGCATCAGTGGGAGTTAATCTAGCCCTCCAGCAACCCACAAAAAACAGGGGACAGGCTTCCGAATGGATCCAGTTATCTGTCTGAACAGTGTTTGTTTTCTCACAGGACTAACCTCTCTCAAAAATTAACGGAGCGTTCGGACCAACTAGCATAGCAACAGCACCAGCTCCACCTGTTGGCCTCGCGTTTCCGGTGGCGTACACAGCTATGTCTCCAGCCACGACAAGCGCGTAACGCCCTGTCAAAAACACACAGAAACAACCATGAGAAACAGCCAAGAAATAGCACATTTTAATACCCATCACCAATTTTTAGACTTTGGTTACAGAGCAGATGACTCCAGGATTAAGAGGCTCTTCAATCCTGACCTTTCCCCCACATTTCGACTTCCTGGCAGCCACCAGAATTTACAGAAGAAATCAGTGATTGTTAGCCATGTCGTCACTTTTTGCGCTGTAACTGAACTAATGGCAAACACCAAGAGCGTTTAAGAAAAAGACTTCAAAAGAGAAAAACAGTTTACCCTCTGTTTTTTTCTATGGTTAACACAAACACTGACATTATAAGGCAGACTACTCAAAACCAGAGGATGACACAACTTTCCAAGAAAATACTCTGAACTTACCATCCCAAGAACTGGACTCAATCCAATTAATAGCATTAAAAAGAGCAGCGGTGCCTCCATAGCATGCATTGGTGGTGTCGATTCCTTCCACGTCCGTATTACCAGATTCTTCAAACAGCTGCATCAGGACAGTCTTTACGGATTTTGATTTATCGATTATTGTCTCCGTTCCAACTTCCAACCTCCCGATACAATCATAGGAAAGGCTGTTCCTCTCCATGAGCTTCTGAACCACAGTCAAGCAGAGGGAATTGATATCCTCCCGGTCGGAGCAGAACCCCATCTTTGACTGGCCGAGCCCAATGGTGTATTTACCAGCATCCACACCATCATACTTCTCCAGCTCCGCCTGGTCAACGTACTGAGAGGGAAAATATATTTCCAGTGCAACAATTCCAACATCTTTGGGCCAGCAGGATTCAGCATTCACTGGAAGAGACCCAGGCATTGTGGCAGATCTTTAAGACAAAAAGAAAACCACAAAACCAGCTGATTTATTCACATCCATTTCGAGTAACTGATTTTCTTTTCTGTAGGTCTATACAAAAAGTTAAATTTCAGGTATTCTACGAGGTTGTTTGCAAACGGCAAGCCTTTGCCTCTGGGGAGACTTTGGTCTGAGCATACTGTAAACATCGTTAGAAGTTTTGTCACATTTTATATTAAGATGTACTTTTCAGTGAAAATACAAATTTCAGCCTTGGAAATGAATAGATGTAGGTTACGCCCAAGTTATTTCACTGAAACAAAACACATGCTTAACAAGTATTAAGTGTTTGACCAAATTAGCCTTAATGTTCATTATTCTACTTTTGCTTAGACACAAAGTCTTAATTTTACACAACCAAGCTAGAAACATTAGATTATTCTTTTTTTTTTAGATGTTGCTAGTTACCTCTATGCAGGACTTTTCAAAATTATTTTTATACTAAGTGATTTACATCCCTCCATTTTGTTTACACTTGCAGCAATTTTTTCCTTGTGGTTTTTTTTGCTGTTTTAAGCAGACCGTTTTGGCATTCCAAACACTGGGGCTCCTAATACTAGGCCTGGAGGATACCTCACTATATTGAAGGCTGAGATGAACATGTGGCGATTCTCCCTGACAGACCCAGTTTTCTTATTTTAACCCCGTTTACTGTCGCTACACTCTAGGATACACCACATCCTGTTATTTTAACCCTATCCTTATCACCCAGACAGGCACCATCTTCCCGTATTTCTGCCTACACCCGTACAGAGCACTTGTCCCTTTTGGGCCCAGCTGCAAGTACCGTCACACTGGCCTTTCTTCCATAAACCCACCACGGGCTGAACAAAGGAATAAAGCCTTTCTCTGCTGGAATGACTTTACAGGATGCGCGTTAATACAGGCGTTAAGAAAACATGGAAAGCGTCTTCTGCTACAGGCACAGTCCTAGGCAAGACCTAAACTGAGAGCGCTCGTTTTGATTGTCTCTAACAAAGTTTCAACCCTACCTACGATGCACCTAAACCTATTTAATTGGTACGTACTTCTCTCGCAGCCTGTATTCACATTAAAACGCGCCAAGGGGAGAAAAAGGCTACTGAAAACTGCTTACCGAAGCGCTGCGGC